TCTTGATATTAGCGCTCAAGGCCACACAAAAAAGTCCGGCTGACAACACATTCCCACGACTGGTTAAGTGTTGTACGTTGCTTCCAGGACCTGTTGGCATTGAAAGCTGAAATAATATTACAAAGTAAATATTAGATACCGAATGCCCTTTCACCCAAATGTAACTCTCCAGATAAGATTTAATATGTAACGGTGAAGTCAAGGGTGGCCTCCATTTTGAGATAACAAAACTCGATTGGTCAGGGCCCTTGAGAAACTAGTAGTTGCTCAGCTTATCAAATGATTTACCGGCTTTTATCGAACCCGAGCTTTCTTGTTGTGCGTGTGAATGTAAGAACATTCTTGTACTGCACTCAGTCTTAAGATAAGTGAATAAAGTACACATTCTCTCACCTCATTTTTTTAAGATCCAGCTTAATGTTATTCGCTCATGTGGGATTAATACGTGTTCGAAAGTGATACAACGCTTGGCAATTTCCAATTAAACTTTACGCCTACGAGCCGTTCACATTTTTCCGCGTGCTTAATAAATATATTAAAAATTTCATTCTTATTAAGTCATTCTTTCATACATAGCGGAAATAAAAAATTATCATGTTCTCCACTACGGAATTGGCTGTAGCCCCCTTCACCGTTAACATAAATAGTAATCGACACGACCCAGGACATTTAACTCAAAATCATATCCTGCAGTGATTGTTATAATCCAGAAAACATTATTCCCAAAATTACTATATTATTCATGTAAACTGTAAACCATTTCAGTCTTAAAATCGCAATACACATATTTCTTCATACTTTTGAAACATATAATTTGTCTTTTCCAAACTCTCTCTTGCGTTTAAATGTAATCGAACATTTTGGTCATATGTTTAGCAACCCTGTTGCGCAATTGGAATTCCTAGGTTCGAGTTAAGGCGCATAGAACGGTTAGCTTGACTAAATGTTTGAGTCCTTTACCTTAAAACAGTCAGAACCGCAAACTTCTAACACTTGACGCTGATACTATTATCTCGGGCTTTGTGGGGTTAGATCGGTAAGGCCTGTGCCTTTGTGTCCCAAGTTCATCTTTATTTTTCTATCGTCAGTCTGTCCATATTCTTTACGGGAAGATTGTCTGCCTGTTTGTTACTTCCGAAGAGTGATGTGGGCCATTTATTATGGCGTGAAAATTGTTGAAAACGAGCTTTAATTTGTTGGTGTTTTGCAACGTGGGGATTTCTCATGCGCACGCTGGGTGTGTGAATTGCCTTGGGACGTGTGAACGGGCGGTTGGATCAGAGGGTAGTGTTGTAGTACGTACTGCTGGCCTCAGCAGACTGCTCGCTCAGTAGCGAGAGTGGAATAATAATGCTAACGGCTGTCACTGTTCAGGATGCTGTAACGTTACTACTGGCTTGGTATAGTGTCCGTGAATCTACAAAAGCTTGCTTGAGCAAGTCAGAAAGGGAGTCATGTCAGAAATAATGAACTGTGTCAACGAGGTTAGGTTGGTTATTCGATTGTTTTGAGTCTGTATCAAAAGCTCTGATCGGTTAGACTAAATGAAGAGGGACAAGTTGGACAGGGTTTATTACACCCGTAAGGCAGTCAATAAATACACCCAGAATACGACGCGGCATAAAGGGAAGATTATAATATTAAAACGGATTATATACTTATGAATAGAGAAGGTGGTGTCAGTGGCTGCCTGTTGTGATAAACGTGACGACAGACACATTGGTTGCATAACAGTTGTTTTCTATAAACTGAATAACTCAGTACTTCATCTCAAAATATTTTATTTTTCCGTGGTCTTTATAACAAATCTTGATGCGGTATTACACTGCGAGTTCACTTTTCTTTTATTTTGTTGTGAAGCTTGGTGTGTCATGCTGAACGAACCTGTTTGAAAACATGAGTCTAAGAAGCCCTATATAGACACAGCATGAGTTTGACCAACATAGAACTTTATATATTTGACAATTGCTATCTTTATATTTTGTGCTCTTTGCTTATTATTTTTATATTAAGAGTCTGTAATGGCGGTATGTGCGAGACATGTAGTAATGTGAGGGGGGGGGGTGCCTTTTCAACACTGTGAAGAATCATCCGGTTGCGTCAAAGCAAGTAATTTTCGTCCAGTCGAATGACGACAGCTGCTTAAGGATACTTTGGTCATGCAGTCAATCATTCAGCAGCAAAGTGAATGTACATGACCTCTGCAGTTGATAATGCACCGTAAAATAGCACGAACAAACAAGGAAGGGTGAAATAATTTATCAACTGAAATGACATGGTGTTCTCGCATCATGCGAAACATACAACCACACAAGTGTCAGATGATTGTAGAATGTAGACCACGTTGGCATGTTGTGTCACGTGGCTGGCGGTCACGGCTCCCCGACTATGTTGCGGTCTGCCGTTACCTGACCGCCAGCTCCGCTAGCTGTGGCCACACCGGGGTTCCACCAGCATGTATATAACCTCACATTAATTGTACCAAACATCTCCCCCAGCGAAATATGCTTTCTATACCAATGCCCGGTGTTTATGCTGTGATCTTTATAAACATTGTTCAGTAACAATATTTTTGTTCCATTTGTTATTTATATAAAAATTTAAATATTTCATTTGACAGACAATATGATTACAGTTCTGTTTTATCAGCTTTCTATGAACTGGATTTTAGATTTCCAACCTCGATGTATCCCTTAAAAAATGTTTAGGTAACAAATTAGGGTGGTTTCGAAACATAAATCCCAACCATAATGCGAAATGAACACCTGTACATAAAATCACATTAACCCTCTTAAGCTGAAGCTCGTTTTTATACTGTTCAGACTTTCAGTTCCTATTCGACTTGAATCTTTCGAGGCGACTATCAGAGATAAGTCCCCTCTCGGAACAGAAGTTCAGATTTCTGCGCCTGCTGAGTAGTACATGTCGTCTTCAGTGGGCTTTGAAGGGTTAACGGAGCTGTGGGTGTGTCCGTTTTGAACTCAGGACAAGTGTGGTAGAACATAAAGACAAGTCACAACAGCAGGTGCTCGAAATGGACTCTTTGTTCTTCTCACATTCGCGCGTCGTGCTCTGTCTCCTCTGCCTCTCTCCCCGAAAAGAAATCCCCCTTAAATTGCTATGAAAGTGCCGCTTCTTCGATCTGCTACTCCTGACTCTGTATCCTGTTTCTTCTGCTTTAAAGGTTTGCTTGCAAACTGTAGATATTTGTTTGTAGAAACCCATTGCTTTCAAGTCCGGTGAACGTGGTGGAAATGCTTTGGATTCTCCAAGACATGTTCAGCTTTGTTACTTCAGAGAGATGGGATAAACCATCCCTTTGGTTGGCTGATATATGTTCACCTCTCTCGAAATTATAATTATCATGCGCTTCTCGCATAACGTTCACTAATTGGTTTCATTTAGAGGTGGTATCTGCCCAGTTGTAATTACGAAACTACTGATTTTCAAAGTAAATTTGACATTGACATTCTGCAACGAAGGCTGTAGATTGAGTTTAATTTTGGTTTGAATTTTTCTTTTAAAACTCAACCTAGAAACTGCCCGCCTGACTGGGAAAATGTATTAAATACGCTTTATAGGTTTCTGTAAGTAATATTAAACATCAAGGCGAAAGAGGGATGCAAAATAAAGAATAACACATTTGGAAGCTTATGTGGTTGAATTCAGGGTACATAGTGTATTTCTCCCCCTTTTTAGGTTCATGCAAACCGCTATTAAAATCAAACTAGGTGACATTATTAACGCAAAACAGTGCATATATGTGTATTCCCATTGCACTTTTCACTTGGTCAACTGGTTTTTTGCGTAATTACTTACTACGTTTTCTATTGAATTTTTTTATGAAAATCCAATTATACAAACAACTATCTTTTAATTATAAACGCTTTGTCCTGTCTTATATATATAATACTTTGGAACTATTAGCTGTATTCTGCTGACGTTTATACCATACATTGAATAGCGCACTATTTAGATAAACTGTATACAAGGTAAATGTAAGGCTTTTAACGTAATGAGTCAAATGTGTTATTTAAAAAACAACATAAGGATAAGATGATAGGGAAATGAAAGAGAAATTGTAATCTAAAATGCACGATAAGTTATCAAAAATGTTTTAAAGATATGTGTGTATGAGTATGTGTGTCGCCGTTCCTTTAATTGCGAACTGGAACATGCCACAAGGAAAGAAGTATCAAATGATAACGGAATACATTAACTTGGCTTGACGTGTATATTGTATCGATGTTGGTGTTATATTGGACGACACGTAATTACCTTAAATAACAACGTAATTTTTAGAGGCCAGTAAATACACTAGTACAAATATAAGCGCAGGATGTTGTATTAAGTTTCGAGTAGTTATATTCTCTGCAGTGGGAAACGCCCGTTGAAATTTGACGGGGAATTGTTTTTCTTCTTTTTATTTCCTTAGCCCATTTTTTCTTTTTCCGTGTCCTTTTTATCCCTTTATACCATCCTTTCTTTCATTCGTATTCCTTTCCATCCCTGATAATGTATAATTTTAAACGTTGCCTAATATCGAGTGATAGCGCTTAGTGGAATATTTTACCATCTAGTGGTTCCACACTGAACTTTTAGCTGCCTACAAACATCAAACTGGTTTTTATATAACACAGAAGCCTCATAATCAATTAATAGAATTATGACCGTGTTAAGAGACTCGGCACTTGGTAGCTTCACAAGTTATGAGACACGTTTAAGTTCTAATTCATGAGCTTACACGTTCATAGTATGATCTTCTAGTTCCAAAGACCACCACTGGACACGATCCTGAGCCAATTTCATCCAACTTTCATCCTCACAATCTAGTTTACTAAGATCCATCTTAATAAATTAGTATCTTCTCGGCGTATTGTCTCTTCACCATTCTACCTTTGCTCTTAGTATAATCATTTACTTGTTCCTGCCGCAGAGCCTGAGACGTTTCTATGCTTACAAGCACATGAAATTTCATCCACATCTGATTTATTTTGCAGAATGTGTCATCTTGAAGAAAAATCTGTCATTTATCTGGATCAGAAACTGTTTTGCGTGATCAGAAGCAAAATATGGAGAACGTGAACGTATGCAATTCCAGTTTAAGTTCTTCCCTAGAACAAACAATTTACAAGTGAGTAGTTACTGAGTCAGTGGAATGGTCGGGTGGGCCACTTGCCTGACTTCTTTGTTCCCCACACTTGAGTCCGCAGACTTCTTTTTTCGCATTCTGGAATTGCCTCAGATCGAATCTCGGCCTGAGTTCGGTTGTGCTGAGAAATTCTTTGATTGTTCCGAGGCAGATGTTGGGATAGTTCCTTAATGTAGGTCACGTTTGCGCCGTTGTTTCATGTGGGTGTGAAACCTCGTCTCCAGCCCAGAGGGAATAAATGAGATTTGGGGGTCTGGAAACTGTGCCCTACGCTATAAATAATATTAAGGTTTAAAAGAAGTGGAGGGACAGCGTAATCCAGTAATTTGAGCCCTTCACTCATTGTCGTTGCAAGTGGGTAAATCGAAGATTCTGTGACGGACGAAGAAACTCGTCTGAATTTAGTTAAAAGAAGACATCTTCTGGAAACGAAACACATAGAATTGAATGCAGTATTGAAGTAGTTCTTAGAAAAATTGTGTTATGTTATTATATTTAACTGACTGAGTAGACCCAATTTTCGGCTGTAATGATAGCCATGATAGACTTTCGGGTTCAGTGAAAAGGGGTAGTTCTTGAATGACTGACCTTCTGCATCGTGTCAAGTAAATATCCTGTTCCATGGACGTATGTGTTTGAAGTACCGTAATAATGAAGTGTAGAAGAATTTATAGAATACGAATTTATAAATTACGATGACCAAGTGATGATAGCACAAACAGAAGAAGACCTGGGATTTAGGATGAGGAAAGTAAAAGAAGAATATCAAATCTGGGGACTAACACTAAATTTAGATGAGACAGTGTATTGGAATTTAGGAAATACTAATGACTTACTGATAATGGAAACGGGAGAAGTAATAAAGAGGACAGAAAAAATTAAATATCTAGGAGCGATGATAGGGGACCACGGGATGTATGGAATTGAAACAGAGGAAAGAATAAAACAATTAAGGAGACTCATCGGAGCCCTCAACCCAATATTATGGGACAAAAATATCACAAAAAGAACGAAAGAGAGAATATATAAAACGATGACTCAAAGCGTGGCTCTATATGGAGCAGAAATTTGGAAACTTTCGGAACAACAACAAAATAAGTTGAGAATAATGGAAATGGATTTCCTAAGAAGAGCGGCTGGAATTCCCAGAAGAGAGAGAGTGAGGAACGAAAGGATTAGAGAAATCATGAGGGTGGAATGAGATATAATAGAGGAGATAGAGAAAAGACAACTGATTTGGTACGGACACGTGCAGAGGATGGAGGAGGAAAGGTTACCAAAAGAGACTATGAATTGGCAACCAAAAGAGAGAAGGAAGAGAGGAAGACCGAGACCAGGATGGAACGACAGAATTACAAGAACCATGATAGAGAAGGATGGGAAAATAGAGGAGAATGGAAGAAATAACGGTCAAGAAACGGAAGAAGAAGAATACGAATTCATAAATTATAAATGCTAAAGGCCAAGAAGTAATAGCAGTTTCCAATTTGTTGGTTATGGCATTAATAACTGTGGTGTAGTCCATAATCTGTCTTATTTTTCATATCCATTGTGATTTGTAATAATGCAACATTATTAAAAAGAAGTAGCTTGAAAGGAGAGTGCAACATCTCCTTGGTACAAAAAGGCCTACAGGTGTTGGTTATAATTGGAATTAAATTACATTACCAGGCCGTATTTCTTTTAAGTATTTTCGCAGTTACAACACAGTTGATAGGTTTTGGCCCTCAGAGGTCTGTTACGCCACGGATTATTAATAGGAGTCGTGTATCGGAATCGAGTGGTGGAGCCTCAGAAGCGGGGAACAGATGATTCCCCACGGCGCCTGTAATCGCTATCCGCGACATGGGACGCCAATTAGATCTCGCAATGTTCAGCTAGAAGAGCGAGCTACGGGAAGAAAGAGAATAAAAACGTTGAGGTAAAAAAATCCCAGGAAGAATATTGTGACGGTGGAGAAAAGGGAAAGAAAGAATAAAGGAATGGGAATAGAGTTGTTTTGCCGGCTTGCTCAGACCCTGACCTGCCTCTACATCTCGTGGTTTCCGCCCACTTGTCGCTCCAATCCTCGGCACGCGACCACAAAGCCATCATTTGAACGACCTGCACGGTTCCCAGAGCGTGCCCCCGATATTCCTGTTGTGAAGGTCGTGGTATTCCATAACAAGTGTCAGAAGAGTGTCCTATCTTTCGTGCAGTGTTGAACTGTATGATGGCACGTCAACGCATAGAAAAGTTTGCACAAACTCAACTCCGAAGTTTTAAAAGTTTACCGTCCTCACGTTGTAACCGGAGAGGAATACATGAATTGTAATAACGTTTGCGTATTGTTGACCGTGTGTAAAATGGTAGCCGGATACCAACTTATGAACTCCACGGAGTAGAATCTTCTTTTATTATCGTGTTCGCAACATCTTGCCACTGTTCGCTACCCTGAGCCAGATGAATCTAGTCCACACCCCATTTCTCTCTTCTGCAGGTTTTTTTAACAAAAATGTTTGTATGCATTTTGTATTTCCTCCATGCGTAGGCCTGTTACTCGTCATTCTCGTCTTATCCTTTGTGATTTGAACACTTATATTATTTGGTTAAAAGTGTAAACATTGAAGCTCATCGTGAGTAGTTTTCTCAGCTTTCTGTTCCTTCCTCCCTGTTTGACCTAAATATTTCTCTTAGCAGGTACAAACGCGTGCAGACGTAGGTAATTACATAAGATAGCGTAAGCACCAGTGCTTTTCGTGATTCATTCACATTGAAAGTCCTTGAATTAAAGCGTGGTCTTCTCTCCGTGCTTTTCTTCAGTCATTATAGTACAACCTTGACAGTGTATGTTCACATTTAATTTCGTTCTATGTGGAAACGACTTTAAAGATTCTTCAGATGAAATCATGATATGGATAAATTCGATAAATGAGTCAGTTGTTCAATTTAAGAACTAATCGACTTTCCAGACTTTATGTATCTAGTCCTCGGCTGTTCGCGGCTGCAGTTCGAGGATGAGTCACGTCCAATGTTCATAATTATTGAACGTATCGGCAAACATTGAATTTGCCATCTTCAGTGTGAATTTACACATTCATACTCAACGCTACCCATCACCGAAATATGACGTTTAAAGGAGCCTATACACTCAGATATGTAGTGTAAGGCTACTTGTGAGTTTTTTGACGTAAATACGTCTATAAGGAAGGGTCATTCTGCAAAAAAGTGTAACGAAAAAGGGAAACGAAAAATGGAAACAAAAAAGGGAAACGAAAAAGTGTAACAAGTGTACCTAGGGAACGTCGTGTTTACTCGGCATTGTTGTTACCTAGGAAACGTCATCTGTTTACTCGGCATT